GAGGGGCATCAAGGGGAGGGACTTCTGGTGGCAAAAGTTAGGGGTTAGGGGCAGGACTTCTAGACCCAATGTGATGACCACGGGGCAGGGCAACTGTGAAGGGGTGAGGCTACTTATGTGGCCCCCGACAGCTCGCCAAAAATTGTTAAGCGGTCCTCCGCCTGAAATAATTGCCCGCCCTGATCTGGCCCATGGGGCTTCCCACAGGTACAGAAATTTGGCAGTAGAGGCATGCAGATTTGGCCCATGGACCCCTGGTTGAGCACCACTGCTCTGGACTGCTCTACTCCAGCATTGGCCTGAAGAGTAACTGGAGTCCATATGAGTACAGGATCAGAATAAAATTGGTTCTGTAAGCAGAGGCATCTAGACAGGAATACTTAAAACTTACAAATAACCATAGCGGAAAGGACCAAATTCCAAGAGCCTATCCTTCCAGTGGAGTGCCATAATGATTAGGCTACAGAGGCAGGCTTCTTCTTGCTTACTGTCTCTCTAGCTTCATATTTATTTTTTAACCAATGGCTGTCTAATATAATATGCATAAATCATCCTGGGAGCAAGGCTCAGAACCCAGGCCTTTACCCTCACAAAGGAGGGACATAGCAATTATTCTGTAACTGCATGGTGAGACCACTCTCCTAGGAAGTGGAACACGTGGGTCTGAATCCTCTCAGGTGAGGTAGGCCTAGAACGGTGGCCTCCTGCTTTCTCTCAGAACCTGTATGTACAGCACCCAAACTTAAGCAGGAATTTGGGGCACCTCTGTATATGCCAGATGCCTGCTCCAGTATGTGCTACTTAGAAGGTGTCAAAGCAGATTCAATTAATTGAGTCTGCTGGAGCGTGCTAATTAGCATGCTCCAGCAGCCTTTGCATAAACATGTATTCGGTGTCCCCATGCCTCAAAATGGTGGTGGGGCTGCTCTACCTAAAGTTTGTTTGACAAGCTTTAGTTAAATGTCCCCGCCAGCATTTTGAAGCAGAGGATACTGAATATACACAATGATGCAGGTACTTTAATTAGAGTGGCTCCCAAAAGCTATTCTAATTACAGTGCTGCCCCCTTCCTCCCCTCCCAGAGCATGTTTAAAGATTCCCTTGATGCCTAGGTGCCTCAAACTGGACATGACTTATCTGTTTTATGGCTGCTGGCACAAGCCAATTTGAATTACACTCCAGGGGTTAAAAGGTTAAGTTCTGCTTGAGCCCTATTTAGGTGCCTATGGAGCCCATATGAACCTGGCCTACAATCTGTATTTAAACAAAATCCACACTTCAAGTCGCATCCAGTTTTGCAAGCCTGCCCCAGTGGTATACTGGGAGAATAAACAGCCTGCAAGACACCAGGGAGTATTGTCCTGGTATAGAGACTGTGATGAGCTGTCACAGACCCTATATCAGGCTTCTCAGAAGGACTGGTAAAGGAGGCTTGCCGTGCTGGGAGGACGTAGTATGGGGGAGCTATTCCACTTAGAGCAGCACTCCCAGCAAAGGCCAGGGACAGATGTTATGTTTGTGGAACTGCCAACAATTGTGTAATACTAGAAAAACCAAGAGGACAAACATGCATGTGCCCTGTAGTCCTACAAAATTAGTGGAAGTGCTACATAAGCGCAGCTGTTCCACCCAGGAACTTCTCTGTAGCACCACAAATAACATCTAGACAGTACAATGAAGCACTACAGCGGTCTCTCAGTATACCGCAGTGCTCTTTCCCCTCCTCCTGCTCCCCCTCAACAAGGGAGTGGGGTAGAGTCATTGAATTTTGTGGTCTAGTTCCCCTGAGTCACAGGGAAACAGATGGCAGCCCCAGAGAATCTGTGATGCCACCTGATCACTGGGAGCCTGCCCACTGCCCCACCACAAGGATGGGGAAGGGAAGTCAGCCCTAGAGGGCCAAAGTTGCAGGGCACTCACTGAAAGCTTGCCATTCCCCATGGCAGTCTCCAGGGCTACAGCAGTCAGTGGGGGATTGCAGCTCTGCTTCCCACTTTACTGTAGGGGTGGCAGACTGTCAGCAAGCAGACTCACTCCCAGGATACCCTCATCTTGGTGGTGGTGGGGGATTGGATCCACAGGGGCAAGCAACCCACTATCATACCCCCTGGCTACAGAACACATCACTATATGCCTTCATGGCAATTTTTGCTGCACTGCAGCTGGGGGTGAAAACATAATGTCTGCCCATAGTCTAAAATACATAGGGGGCTATTTTAACTCATGCAATAGCTCAGAATCTAGAAAATAGGAATGTGTACCCGCTTCCTTTTCTGAGCTGAGCATTCTTCATGGCATGCAACTTTGGGGCACAACCAAGAATGTGAATCGCTCTCTTTAATGATTTTCAACAGCACCTGTGCTCATGGTATTTAAAGACTCTGCAAAAAAATCTCTCTTCAGGTTCCATAGTAAAAGGAATCAGTATCATTTTTTTTAATTTTAGTCAACCAGGTTCTAAAGGCCACATTCTGATCCTGGTTACATTGCTATAATTAGAACAGAATTTGGTCCCAAGAAAAAAATTCAACACTGAAAGCATGATCAGTCATGTACAAGGCACTCACCTGTTGTGTGGTACTAGTTACAATGCCTTGCTGCAACCGGTATGCCTGCTCCTGTAGGTATTTTCTTGTCTCATGATTACGAAGCAAGTAGTTTTCTATCTGAAAGCAAAAGTTCATGTCAGGATACTGATTCTATTCTCACCCACACTCATGCTTTTGACATTGTCACTGCAGTAAAAATATTGGAGAAAAGAAATAAATGTCTTCTAATTTTGCTCCCTAGACCTTGTACCATATAGCTCACTGCTTGATAACCACACAAGGATATGTTTATTCACTTGCAAGGTTCATACTGCATTCATCTATAATGCATTTCTGGAGGATCTTCCCTTTTTTCTCATTTGTTTTTTTCTTTTGACTGAAATTCTCCTGAATTCTGATTCAGTTAACACTTCAGCATGTGTGAACCATGCAAATTAAGAGTGAAAATTAAAATATTCCCAACTTCATCTGTCTCAAAACATACATTTCAATCCTCCATGCAATGATATATTAAATATTCCATATTGTCCCCTGGAACCAGAAAACTAAGTAGCAACCTAGTTTTATGACTAGATAAACCTAAAACACCCACCAAAAACCCCTGAGGGAAAAAAGTCTGAACAATTAAATTTCTTAAGAATTAAAAAAAACCCTAAAATACTGCTTTTATAAGAACACAACTGGAGAATTAAAAATACCTGTCTGCGGTATTTGCTTGTTCAGCTGTAATAATCAAATAAATTGCATAATTGGCTTAGGTGTTTAGAATAAATTTATCAAGACTTGTATTGATTTTATGTCTTAAGTGTTGTTAATAGGGCCGCTACAATTATTTATCTTTTACAAAGCTCTACAGAATTTATGTTAGAAAGCTGCTGAAGGGGAATGCACTAACTTTTTCTTGCTGTCTTTTTAAAGCACAGTTCTTAACACTATGATGATCTATGCACAACAGATCAGCAGGACAGTAGCTGGTCTAGTAATTTCTTTTAGAACTGTTCATTCTACTGTACAAGGCTCAAAAGACATGATTTAAAATGGTAAGAACTTAAAAGATGACCTGCAAAGGAGGGGGAGGGCAGGGAAAGATTGAAGGTAAAATCTTCAAATGTGTCTAGGGCTCCTTTGGAAAACATTACACTTAAGACGTGCTTTACCAGTTAATCACATCTCAAATAGTAACCTGCCACATATTAATGCAATTAATTGGTGCAATAAAACATGACATAAGCCACACAGTTATTACACAAAAATCATGTAATAACTTTGTGGCTGGTTCCCATCATATCTTATATTGTACATATGGCCAGCCTGATTGGGTTTCCCAGCCTGGGGAGTGCATGGGGGCCCTTCACTCCATATGTTTGTTATCCAGGCTGGAATCACTAATTAGCTGACTGCCATGCCCAGCCTCCAAGGCACGTCAGGGTCAAGGGCTCCTATGTGCCCCCAAAGCTGCGAGAAATGATTAACTGTTGCTCCCAGCCATGGGGGTGGAATGGAGCCCTTGACTGCTATGCTTCCAAGACCAGGAACCAGGATCAACTGACTGACTTCCTAATTGCTAGTGCCACAATCATGCCTCCTACCATGGATGTCTAGCATGCCAGGAAGCACAGCTGCTGGGATCATGCATCATATCCCATGACCAGCGTTCCCTCTAAGCTGCACCGTGTGTGCAGCCGCACAGGTGCACCTGGCAGCATGGCACAAGCATGCCTGTGTGGCTGCGCATGCCACACACCTTAGAGGGAACGCTGCTCATGACGCCCATAGCTGAATGTCTGCCAGGAGCTTAATTAAGTGATGTAGAAATTTCAGTTCCAGTTTCTGAAGTTACTAAGCACTTAGAAAGACCAAGCTCCATTTTCAAAGATGGAATAGGCCACATACAGGTGTTATAGGCCTATTTCTGCTGGAAGAATTCCTGCTCTCCCAGTAGAAACTACAAGGATCAACCTGAAACACCTCCCTTGTAAGTGAAACTCTCTCAAAGAATGAACATTTGCATGTTGCTCTCCTGGTCAGGTCTGGTCTGGTCTGGTCAGGAAGCAGCAAGGAAATGCTCCCCGTCTCTTCCCCAGACTTAGGCTGGGGGCTTTGTGGCACCAATCTCTATATCTTTCCCAAATCATGGACCTCTGCAGCTTGGCAGTGGGGGCAGGGATGTCAAAGCTGGCAGAGCTGGGAACAGGTTTGGGAAGGCTTTCCCTGCCCCATTCTCAGCCATGTGAACTTTAAATGCCATGTGTGTTGCTCACCTGGGTGGTGCACATAAGAATTTAAACGCTCACAGAGCCAAGAAAGCTCTTGCTAAAGCATCATAGCAATGCCCCCACACTTCCCCAACCAGGGACTGCCTAGGTCTAGGGAATGGACTGTGGGGGTGGTTTGCCAAGAATGGGAGAATTGGAGCAGCCACTGTTCCCCATGTCTCTCCCAGACCAAGGGAGAGGGGGTAGCTGCAGGCTGAACACCTATTCTGTTCCTTCTCCTAGAAACATCTCTGGTGGTGGAAATTTCTCCCACTAGAAACAAACACCTATTCATGGCCATACGCTCCAACATCACCTAAGCACTTTTGAAGTTTTTTAACCTGCCCTTTTTTTTCTGGTTGTTTATCATGTATGAAAGAGGCCTGAAAAGTTCTGTTAAAAATGGTATAAAATAAATGTAGGCTTCCAAAGATTCTTAGGAGATAACTCTGTTTCACTTTTGATATATAGAGACGCCATGAACAGACATTACATTTGTAGGGTACAAATGCCAGTGCACTTGCTTAGGTACATGTAGTGCTACAGCAGGGTCCCTTGGATTCCAGCATGCCAGTCCTCTGCTCTGTCTCCCCTTCTCCAGTAGTGGGTGTGACAGCTCTTCCTCCTCCCACAATTCTGATGGGAACAGTTAGAAAAAGTTTCTGTCCTGTGGTGGTGGCCATAGCAGGAAGACTTTACACCAAAGCAACACTGGGAAGAGCAGCACTTTTAACAAAGGCTGTGGCAGTTCTTTCTGCTCCAGCAGAAACAGTAGGAAGATCCCATGGCAATAGTGGAAAGTGCTGCTACTGGGGACAGCTGCTGATCACTGATATCCATCTAGAGAAGGAAAGCGGTCAGTGATATGGATGACTGAGGCTCCTTTGGAGGTGGGAGGTGGGATGAGAGAGGCGAACCACCAGCCTCTATCCCCCCATGGCTGGAGAGCTCACCCCTGAGGTGACTTTTATAGCTTTCCAGCCAGGGGTCTAGAATATGCTCTTATTTTTATAGCACTACAAATGAATGTCTGTCCATATCTAAATAATATTTACACTTGCTCTAGATAAATAGTAATGTTTCATACAGGATATAATGCCTGTGGTCCAAGTTTAAAAAAATAAGAATCAGGATATATGAAAAAATATATCAAAGAAAAAAACCCCCAGAATCTTTCCCTTTATTAAGCCATTTATCTACAGCCTTCCTTGCTGTAATAAAGCTCACAAACATATGTTACTTCATCACAGCTGCCTGTAAGAACTGTTTGTGGGCTTTTATGTGCTCCCACCCTTATTAAAGAAAAATATTTCATTACAAAGCTGTGGACTACACATTTTTTCCTGACTTTAGGCTGGCATGGGGGACCTACCTTTTCAGCATGTGGGCTACAAAAGTCCCACACCCACCCTGAGTGCCAATGAACCCCCCTCCCCTGCCTGACCTGCTGCTTTGTTTTCGCCTTCCTGCTCTATCTGCCACTGTGCTACCTGTCCCTTTTGATCTGCTGCGTGCCACAAGCAGAGGCTGCCCATATTATTTGTCGCACATGTGCCACAGGTTGGCCACACACCTGTTTAAAGTATGAAAGCTCAGTTGTGAGTGCTTTAGTCTGCATGATTTGGACAGCTATAGAATTTACTCAACACAGACTTTACTCCAAAGAGCACTTGGTGCAGTTAATGTATGATGATGCTGCATGTGTTTTCTGGGTATACAACATACACATCTCCCATAAATATGCTGCTGTCTACTCCTTAACAGCCCCTCTCATCTTCTTTTGTCTTGCGCACTGCTGAACACACTTGCCATTCTTGAACAAGAAAAAAAATGAACACGAATACTTCTATAAGTGTAAAAACACATACACTAACACAGATATGCCATGCGTAATACCAATATATATTACATTCACACCTAAATATTAGGGCTGTGTGAAACTTCGCTCTCTGATTCAATTCAGCAGAGATTTGGCCTGATTTGGTGGCCGAATCTGAATTGAATCAGGAAACCCTTTAATCTCTCTGAATTGATTCAGAGAGATTTGGCAATTTGGATACAGACACAGCTTTAAATGTTTTTTCTACATACCTCAAGGTACCAGGTGGTTCATGAATGCTGAGATGGTGGGGTGGATGGAGCTCCCTAGGGCGCTCAGCAGCAGACCCGGAAGTGGACAAGAAGCCTTCTGGTCCACTTCTGGGTCTGCCGGGGAGTGCACAGGGGGGTCCCCTCCAGCCACCCTGGCTTGGCGACTGGTGCCTCCTGGGTCTGGGGGGGCACCAGGGGGCCCTCCGTGGCCAACTGCTGAGTCGGGGGGAGGGATTATGGGGGGCTCCCCCGTGCTCCTGTGGGACGCTCCATCCATCCCAGCATTGCAGCATTCATGAGCTGTGCCAGGTATCTCAAGGTATGTAAAAAAAACATTTAAAGCTGTGTCTATGGCTGAATCGCCGATTCTCGGAATCAGCAATGAATCTTCAGATTTGGATTTGGCCAAATCAAATCGGGGACAGTGATCTGAATCAACAAATCGAATCACTGTCCCCAATTTGGGCTGAATCCGAATCAAATACAGCCCATTTCGCACACCCCTAATAAATATACTGTATATTGTTTAATTAGCATTACCTTGTTTTATGATTGATTGTACTAAGCCACTATGGTCAACAGCTCTCAATTTAAAAAAAGATTCCCATACTACAATAATTTTTTATTACTGTAACCCCTCCACATGTTTGTATGTGTCTATGTAAGTCTAATACTTGATGACTTTAACAAAGAAGTTTTACTTACCCAAGGCTGAAAGCATAACCACTTAACATTACTATGTGCTTTTTTGTGTATGGGCTGTATATGCTATACCTTTCGCAGTGCATCTTCTGTCTTTTCAGGGTTTGTTTTAAGTGCTTGAGAAGCATCATTCATAGGTATTGGCATGAACCTCAAAGTATAATTCCTGGAAAAAAAGGAAAGTGTAATATTAAATGATAATCCAATTGCAAAGAATAAACTAGCAAAGAAAGTTAAGACAACTTGAACTGCCAGCTCCCAGTTTCATTGTAAGAAGTTTTATTTTTGTTCTATTTTGACTTTCTTAACTTGTAGGAAATCAAGCACATTCCTATTTGAAGGCCTTTTCTTTGTGATAGATAGAGGGGGAAATAGATTTTTAAAGGCATGAAAGGAATTTGGTACCTGATTTCCAGTTGCTTTCAATGGGAGTTAGAAGCTTAACTGCCCTTTGGGCCTTGAAAATCCACCTGAGTGATTATACTATCTGTGTTTTTCTATTTACATGAAACATCAGCTCCTACTGACAACCCTAACAGGGCATATCATGTAGGGCAAGAGGAGACGCGAGACAGATTTTGGAAACTGAGATGGAGGGTATCAAACCTGAAGGTAGATCAAGGTAATAATGGGAAGACAATATTAAAACAGAGCTAGAAGGGAAGGGTGAAGATGTAATAAGATGGAAGGACGCAGCACAAAATAAAAGGAGATAGAAGGCTTTAAGTTATAGGCCCTAGAGGCCCGTTGGGAGAGGTTGACAGACAGACAGACAGACAGACAACCTTATCAGCACCATTCCTTGAGTGGAGATTTCCTGGACTGAATGCAACAAATATTTCTTTAAGTTTTGAAAATACATCTTTTAATATATTCCTTTATAAACAGCTGTCTGAGTTTTACCTAACTGCTGCATTGTTTCTTTCATAGCAGTTGACAAAACATATACACCAGTAAGTACACTTCAATGATATTTTATATAAACAATCACTTTCTATGTTTTATTGTCTTTCTTTGGGAAATGTTTCTGCAACCACATTTATCTATTTTGCACTGAATTGTGACTTGAGTCAAACTGCCATTTAACCCCTGGGCAGGTAACTTGGTTGACAGAACAAGTATTAAAAACAAACACAAAAAACACCCCCTGAAGTAGCAACTCTACTGCATCCCATTCCTTGTGTAAAACTTCTTAGGAGTAGACTAGGATAGTTGTTGCGAAAAAAATCACAGAAAAAGTACTTGAAAAAATAAAAGGAAGTCCCTTTTGGCGTTTCTTGTTAGGTGTAACTTCCTGCAGAAATGTATTCCCCTTCCATTTATAAATATTTATCTAAGTATCCTACTCTTAATCATCCATATTTTTAAAAATATATTTTAGATTAACTTATTTTTTAAATATTTTCAAATTAAATTTTGTCATCCAATTCAGTCCAGATATAAGTGGATGCAACTCTACTCACTCCAATCCACTTGCATCCTATTAATTGGTCTAGTTGGAAGCATCCTGAAGTCTTGAGAACTAACACAATCCTTCACACTCTCCGACTTCCTCTCACTAACAAATCCAGTAACAGAGAGCTGTATTAATCTGAAGTTAAGCACAAGCCAGGGCAAGGTGGCACCTTATAGACTAACTTTGTTCAAAGAGGCATGAACTTTCATAGGTGAGTTTCCTTTGTCCTATAAATGGACTTGTAGAGAGGAGGTCCCTGATAGTCTTTGTTTGGGCAATAGGATCTTTGTCCCTCCACAATAGTTAGGGACCTACTTAATTCGTGGTTTTGCAGATTTTACGGAAACCATGAAATCCAGGGTTGTCCATGAAATCAACAGCCAAAAAAACTTGATAAAAATAAAATGCTGGCTCCTGATTGGCTCTTGCTGACATGAGGGGAAGGCACCAGCTGGCAAGGTGACATGAAGGGCAGCAGACAAGATGGCGGTTGTCCTCTTGTCCCTCCTCTCCCCACCAGGGTCTCTCTGCCAATCAGCAGTGAGGTGTGGGGTGGCACAAAGGGCAGCCAGCAATCAAGATGGAGGCTGCCCCCGTGTCCCTCCTCCCCCTGAGGCCTCTTCGCCAATCATTGCCAAGGGATGGAGATGCTGCAAAATGACCATGGAATTCAAACTTTACACTGCAACCAACCTGCAAAAATTGTTAAGACCCCCCCACTGCAATTTAGGTAGACCCCCTAATAATATTCAACTAGCTACTTTGGTATTGCAGCAGAAGAGCTTGCTATAGCAGCTCCCTTACCCATCAAAAGAATTGTGCACGCTACATGCGTCTCCATGTGGTAGAGAATAATCAGGAATTGGCCCTCCACTAGCAGGGAGACTAATTTAAAATATAAGCAGCAGCTCAGGTCAGATAAATAATTGCTGCAGAAGTTGTGGATTGCCTGACAGGGGAAAATACCTGACTGAGAAAAAATTGGCATTGCTTAAAAAAAAAAGAAAGTGGATTTCCAAAGATCTCTGCAGCTGTTTGACATTTAATATGTCACATTCAGTGAAGTCTAAAATTGCCGGCTCTCATGCTGGTAATTATATGCTAAATTCCATGTAGCCAAAGACTTGAGCCCAGCTGGGGGTGGAAAAGATCCAAAACACAAGGAAACTCCATGAGCACGTAGCCATGTAGTCAGAACCTTAGATGAACACTGCTCTACAGAAAATTCTATAATCCACTTCTCTCCGGATGCACAGCATTTGTTCTGGAGTGTTAGTTTATTTTCATCTCTGCATTAACCATCTCTCGGGAAAATAAAGGATTTAGAACTTGCATGAAACTTTGATCATCAGAGCAACTGATATTTATCCTCACACTACTCTATTTTTCTCAGCTTCCTTTGAAGTCTGAAATATCCCTCCATTCTTGTTACTTTTCTTTTTAAAGCTCCATTTGTCTACAGTAACAAGAAAAGATTTCCTTAAGAACTCAATAATCTAGTAAAGTTCAGTTCCAGGTTGAAAACGTACAATTTTGCTTATTCAGAGCGATATTATATTCCCTACAAATTGCCCTACAGAAGAATGTAAAGTTTCAAAGAGAAGCACCCAGAGATCAGGAAATGCTCAAGTCAAAGGTGTCCAGACAACTTAATTTCTCTTCCTTTGTACGTATCGCATGCATTGCAATAAACTAAAAACTATTATCACATGCTATTTTTCCTGCAGTACCCTACTCAATTTGCTCTGCAGACTAAATTGCTGTAAAAAGTAACAAAATAGTTGTAATATCTTCACTGCTTACTCTGCTCCAACAGAAAGAGAAGCTATTATGGCAGTTATGTAATGTTAGTATATAGCATCTGAAAAATGTGAACTTTATACCACTGGAAAAGAAAGATTCCCAACTCCCCAACACTGGCTTTTAGACCTGCGAGATTAGATTTTAGAAGCTGAGGTATTTCTCTATTGAATCCTACTGGAAAAATTCTTTAGCACTGAATACTGGATAATACAGTATGGGTGCCTATATACATACTCTGCTTAATTAACTGAGACTGCTTAATTAACCAAGTCTGCTGGAGCATTCTAATCCGAATGCTCCAGCATGCTGCAGCATCTCATGTATTCAGCGTCTCATGTTTCAAAATGGCAGTGGGGGTGCCTTAAGTAAAGCACATTCGACGAGCTTTAGTTAAAGTGCTCCTGCCACCATTTTGAAACATGGGATGCTGAATACCCAAGACGCTGCAGTTTAATTAGAGCAGCACCCGAGAGTTGCTCTAGTTAAAATGCTTTCCCAACCCCACCCCAGAGCACACATATAGATGTCTTATTGGTCTACAAAAATATAACCCCTGATTTAGCACAGCGCATACTTATGTCCTTGTTAATGTTAGGGGGATGCAAACATGGATTTAATGGCTTGATTAAGTATGTATGGATTTAGCTACATTTTTAAATGCTTTGTTGAATTGGGGATCTCAGAGGAGAATTTCATCTCCACATTTTATAGGAAGAGAGTTAGTTTTTCCATTGTTCTCTTGTTAGAGCATACAGAGTTCCATAGCAGGAATATCATTCTCACAGGATCTTTTTGCAAGGGGAAGAAAGGTTTCAGATGCATTTCAATGCGTTTTAAAATACATTGTTATATTTTTCTTTTCTTCCACATTCTGTACAATTGGACTCAGCATACTAAGGAAGCCTATACTTTCAGGTGTACATGGGTATACTTTCAGAATACAAAATTATAGTCCTAAACATTTTTAAAATACCCTCAAATATTTTTTGAGGGTAGACTGAGTTCAGAATCCTGACAAAAAGAAGAAAGGAGAGCAGCAGAGTATGGACCCTGGACTTCAGAAAAGCAGACTTTGACTCACTCAGGAAACTGATGGGCAGGATCCCCTGTGAAGCCAGTCTGAGGGGGCAAGGAGTCCCGGTTGTATTTTAAAGAAACCTACTGAGGGTGCAGGAACAAACCATGCAGATGTGCAGGAAGAATAGCAAATATGGCAAGTGATCAGCTTGGCTTAGTAGAGAACTCTTCAGTGAGTTTAAACACAAAAAGGAAGCTTACAAGAAGTGGAAGCTTGGACAGATGACTAGGGAGGAGCATAAGAGTATTGCTTGGGCATGCAGGGATGAAATCAGGAAGGTCAAAGCACAACTGGAGTTGCAGCTAGCAAGGGACATGAAAGGTAACAAAAAGGGTGTCTACAAGTATGTTAGCAAATGACAGATAAGGAAAAGGCTGAAGTACTCAAGCTAACCTTGGTCTTCACAGGCAAGGTCAGTTCCCAGACTACTGTACCAGGCAGCACAGTTTGGGGAGTAACCCTCAGCAGTGAAAGAACAGGTTCGGGACAATTTAGAAAAGCTGGGACATGTACAAGTCCATTGGGCTAGATGCAATGCATCTGAGGGTGCTGAGGAAGTTGGCTGATAGGACTAAAAAGCTGCTGGCCATTATCTTTGAAAATGCATGGAGATCAGGGGAGGTCCCAGATGATTAAAAGGGAAACTATAGTGCCCATCTTTGAGAAATGGAAGAAGGGGGATCCAGGGAACTACAGACCAGCCAGCCTCACCTCAATTCCCATAAAAATCATGGAACAGGTGCTCAAGGAATCCATTTTTAAGCACTTGGAGAAGAAAGTGATCAGGAACAGTAAGCATGGATTTGCAAAGGGCAAGTTATGCCTGACCAACCTGATTGCCTTCTATGATGAGGAGACTGGCTCTGTGGATGCAAGGAAAGCAGTGGACATAATATGTCTTGACTTTAGCAAGGCTACTGATCCCATTTCCCACAGCATTCTTGCAAGCAAATTGAGAAAGTATGGGTTGGATGAATGGACTGTAAGGTGGATAAGAAAACTGGCTGGATTGTCGGGCTCAACAGGTTGTGACCAATGACTTGAGATCTAGTTGGCAGCCAGTATCAAGTGGAGTGCCCAGGGGTCAGTCTTGGGGGCCGGTTTTGTTCAATATCTTCATTAACAATCTGGAAGATGGGATGGATTGCATCCTCAGCAAGTTCACCTATGGCACTAAGTGGGGGAGAGTACTAGATATGCTGGAGGGTAGGGCTAGGATTCAGAGTGACCTAGACAAATTGGAGGATTGAGCCAAAAGGCATCTCATAAGGTTCAACAAGCACAAGTGCAAAGTCCTGCACTTAGGATGGAAAAATACCATGCACTGGTACAGGCTTGGGACCAACTGGCTAAGCAGCAGCTCTGCAGAAAAGGACCTGGAGGTTACAGTTGACAATAAGGTGGATATGGGTCAACAGTGTGCCCTTGTTGCCAAGAAGAATAACAGCATACTGCGCTGCATTAGTAGAAGTGCTGCCAGCAGATAGAGGGAAGTAATTATTCCCCTCTATTCTGCACTGGTGAGGCCACATCTGGAGTACTGTGTCCAGTTTTGAGCCCCCACTACAGAATGGATGTGGACAAATTGGAGAGAGTCCAGCAGAGGGCAGTGAAAATGGTGAGGGGACTGGGGCACATGACTTCTGAGGAGACACTACGGGAACTGGGCTTATTTAGTCTGCAGAAGAAAAGACAGAGTGGAATTAATAGCAGCCTTCACCTACCAGAAGGCTGGTTTGAAAGAGGATGGAGCTGGACTGTTCTCAGATGATACAACAAGGATGATGATACAAGGAGCAGTGGTCTCAAGTTACAGCAAGGGAAGTTTAGGTTGAATATTAGGAAAATGTTCTCACTAGGAGGGTGGTGAAGCACTGGAACAGGTTACCTAGGAGGGGTGGAATCACCATCCTTGGAGGTTTTTAAGGCCCAGCTAGACAAAACCCTGGCTACAATGATCTAGTTCTGGATGCTCCTGCTTTGAGCAAGGGGTTAGACTAGATGACCTCCTGAGGTCCCTTCCAACCTTAATTTTCTATGATTTACAATGTATTTTTCTGTTAAGGATGACTTTTTTTCCCCTTGTAGAAAATTGGCAGCCTGTCATGAATTGTGTGAAACATGTGGAAGATGTTCCCAATATGTCTTTGAGATTGATTTGTTTACTTGCTAACTTTTTTCCAGATTGTTGATAAGAATCTCTGTCTTGCAAGTTTAAAACTTCACTGCTGATGGCTTTGGTTGTGATACTAACAGGAGTTTGAAACATCAAAGGAGAAAGAAGATGACCTCAGCTTCCAGACTAAATAAATAAGATATCATCTCTACAACAGGCAAGGGCATGATATTTGAACTAATGTTTCCGTCTCCTGTCTAGTTTGTTTACTCTTGCCTTAGCATTCCCCTTTTATTTATATTTCTTGGCAGGTCAGAAGGGAAAAAATAAATGCAATATTTATCAGAAAATACCATATATTCTCTTCCCCTGACTATTCCTGTAAGTTTGCGTGCTATTGCTTTGTTAAGTAAGGTCTGTAAACTGACAAAAGACCGTTGTGAATATTGTTGATGATTCATTAATATGACTGGAACTGCTTCAGATTTATTTATTTTCCTGATTTATACATAATTTATATGAATTCCTGCATTAGTGAAACAGAGTTCATCTTGATATGAGATAATAAAATACATATATCCCTTACCAACCATATCTATCTAGTTGATTAATTCAATCACAAAAGTTATGATACTCCAGAGAGTTAAGAGGTTATCCCAAATAACTGTATATTTTTGCAAGTTATCTTGTCTGGAGACTAGCAATTGTCTATGATCATCACTTTCAAAAGACACTTTTTGTTTTCCCATTTATGGGGATTTAATGATGTGAAACAATGGCAACTGCTGCTTAATTTAAATCTTCAGTTTTTCCCCCTAAGAAATGCAATCATCAGATATGAAGAAAAGTGAAAGGGACAGACAGATCAAAGTGATTCGGTGCCTGATAGTCTGGTGTTTCTGTACCCATGACCACAATGATTCAAGGAGCCCACCCCACCATAGGGTTTGTAATGAAGAACTACAGTTCCTGGAACCCTCATTAGTAATGTTCTTACTTAAATCCAAGACTTTATTACAACCTTCCAATAATTAGATTCTATATAATGAAAATCATACATTTGTTATAATTTGCCATGTATATAATCTAATTATTAGAGGGTTGTTGTAATTTGCACCCCCGTCCCCAACTGCTGTGGCAGGGAAAGCAGCAGCAGTGAGAAAAGTGACAGGGAAAGGAGTGGCAGGGGGGCATGTCCCTTGCTCTTTTTGCCCCCTGCACCATGTCCCCCTCCCACACCTCCCCCCACAGCCACTTCACCTACCAGACGGCCCCAGCCCTGGCCCTGGCTGCAGCATGGGGCATGGAGCACAAGGTAGCTCCAGCCATGGCTCTGGCCAGACAGAACAGTGGCTCTGGCCCCAATCTGGGGTGGGGCTGGAGTTAGAGCAGCTCCCCTGTTGTTGTGTGGTCTCCCCCATGAAAAAAAGTATACCTCAAACTCACAAATTTTTAACAGGGGTTTCAGAATTCATGGGATGTAGTGGCTCTAGCTGGGGTAGAAGAAGGAACCAAAGATGGTAGTCAAAGAGCCTTTTCTTACCCTTTTGTGATTTCATAACTTCTACTTTAAAACTGAATCCCACAGGCCTAAAAGTGAGATGTGCTGATCATCTTTAAATCTTACTGATGTCAGCATAAATTTCAGCTATTCAGAATGTACCCACTCTCGAGTCATTCAGCTTCCATAAAACTTACTTTTCCAATGCCACTGCTATATCCTGAAAGCCCTGTGCAGTGATGTTATTCTTGTCCCATATTACAGTTCTGGTAGGAAACAAAATTAAACAAAGATTAAACAAAGTTCACCGATTATTTTCATTTAAAAAATAGTTTCACGCTCTCTCTCTCTCTTTTTTTTTTTTTACAAACACCATGGAGTTGGGTCCTTTTGGATCAAGCAGTTGTGTTTGACAAACATGTATAGAAAAGGCCATTGTGTTATTAGCTAAAAACTGAAATAATAGAAACTTAGAAAAAGAGTTAATGTGATATTAAATGCACCTTGCCTCTAATATTAAAAATGGGAAAACATAATGCAGGGATCATTTCTATAAGACAAAAGCAATTAATTTAACTCCAAATTGTCCAAAATTTCTCTTTCTCTTTGGAGGCATATTTTGTTTTAAAAAAGAGGCTCTTCTCAGGTATGATTATACAACATATAATTTACATGGAACTAATTTCTACAATTATAGAAAAGCAGCTTTTTATTTTCCAAATGTTTGTTTAAATTTTCCAATGCAGTCTGAAAGCAATATACAGTAGTTGGTACACTGATTTATTATTAGATATGCAGCTTGAAAAATTGTGGTAAAAAAAATTAACAAGTTGTACCTGTTTAGGTTGCTGCTCCTTTGAACCTGAGAACAGCTATTCAATTCCCCATGCCCCCGCTCCAATACACAGGTCTGTATCTTGCATTACAAGGCAATTTGTGGCCAAGCAAATGATCTCATTTTAACTAGTCAATGGATACTTTTAAAAAGATTAGTAGGTTCATTTTGGTGTTGAGGAGGTAATAGTGTACCAGATGCACACTAGTTTTAGAGCACCTGTAGTTGAGGCGCTTCCCTGTCAGGAAAGTTTTGACAGTCATATTGCTACCGTTCTGCTGGAAATCAACAGGATTTTCTCTCTCTCTGTTTTAGGAGGTGGAGAAATGGTGGTTTGGCACCTTCTCTCCCTACAGTCAGAAATGTTTGGAGATAGTGTCACACATATCCCACATTTGCAAGAGATTTAGGCCCTATCTGCTATCATCACAACACGATTTTGTACTGTAACCAGTTGCAAGCCATACTGTTCAGCTTGTGAATACATGGTAGCTCTTTGCCATCATGAACCGAGATCGAGTACTCTGCCCATGTCTTGTGAGGTGTTCTAGGCGGCCACCCCAGAGGTTTCAAGGGACAGTTCCCTGACCCAAGGACCATGATCATTTTATTTGTACAGCCACTTACCTCTCCAATTTCCATGTTGGATAATGAGATTTCTTACTCCAGACCCCTAGTGAGATAGTGGCCATTTCAGATCATGCAGGCACCCCTGTTACTTCAGGCTAGTATTTACTACCTTCTGGAGTTTGCTGCTTGAAAGCTTCATTATTCAATGACCTTAGTATGTGAGCACTAAGCTCAGCAAAATAAATTACAGGCATTTCAAGGTGCCAGCCCTGCTACTGAATGATGTAGCCAGGAATGCCCTTTGGGACAGCTTACTCTTTGGGAACATAGTCACCAGACCTAAAGCATTATATGGTATATCTTCAACACATGGAAAAATGCACTGTGGGATGTGTAAGTGCATAATGTTACAGGATGAGGGAAGACTAATTTTACTGCTTACAGTGACATGGTCAGAGGTGTGGGACCACAGAGCCAAAGGGTGCGTATACACATGCAGCAAGACTGCTCTGATGTACAGCACGTCAGAGCAGACTCGATTAATTCAGTCTGCTGGAACATGGCAATTACTGTGCTCCAGCAGACTCCACCATCATATGTATCAGTGTAAAATGGCCGCAGGGGTGCTTTAACTAAAACTCATTTGACCCTGCCATCATTTTTCAGCGCAGGGATGCTGATACACATGAAGCTCCAGGCACTTTAATTAGACTGGCTCTTGGAGCTTCTGTAGTTAAAGCACCCCTTTCCATCTCTCCACATACTCCCAGAACGCATCTATAAACGCTCAAAGAGCACTGTGTTTAAACATTTAAACAAAGATTCAAACCATCTGTCAGGTTACCCTGCTAGAAGGCAGGAAGCAGCATCAAGATCTACTGCCTGTTAACCATGTGCCATGCAAACTGCTATTTTAAGGTATCCATGCCAGCTATTAATTAAAAGCACGATGAAAGCATTGTGTGGACGTGAACACAGAGGACAGGTTGCATGGCTCCCTCCTGTACTAGTTAGCTGGAGTGACACACCTGCAGATAAGTATTCTGAATCCAGTCTGCTCCCAGGTTTCCTCAGCTATGATACCTCTGAGGGAAAAGGACACTTTTCCCTTCTTATTCATACCTATGGTGCTTGCCATGTAGCATACAGGTTAGCATTACAGGGAAGGCCTACAGTGGAAAAGATCTGGTGCTTCTGAGGCACAACGTGGGTTTATACAGAAGTAACTTTTGAAACGTTTCCAAGTGAATTGGGCTTGGAAACATTTAAAAAAGAAATGACTGCAGCCAAGGGATATAAGTACAGCCTCCCTGTGGCATTCTGGGGCTGGAAAATTTCAAAACACAGCCGCCTCCTTTAGCACAAGCCAGGGGTTGCTAAGGGAGGCTCCAGTGACTTGTTGCCCCACTCCCTTCTCCTCTCAGAGACCACCAGAGTGGCGAGGTAACCAGGGGTGGAGGGAGGTAGCAGGGATCCTAATTCTCCAGCCTCAGATCCCTAAGCCTCTCTTCTCAGTCAAGTAGAGAGATAGCAGGGACTAGGGCTGCAGGACCCAGTTCTTGCGGTGGTTGGGATGGAACCCAGTTCCAGCACCAGCCCGGCTCCAGCCCCAGCAAAGGTAAGCACACGTCTTAGTGAGAACCTGGCAGCACCCTGGGGCCAAAAGTAGGACCCTGCAGCTGGACAAATAGAAAACTCTCCCTCTCTGTCCCCATGCATGAATAGCCAAAAGTGAAATGCTTCAAAACAGTACTTCATTTAGAAAGGTACTGCTCTGGAGTGCTTCCGCTGCTTTTGGCACCTTCAAAGGGCACATGTGTTTGTCCAGCTGGTCCTCTGAAATGTTTCAAAGGAGTTTGAAATGTTTCAATTGTTACTTCTCTTCACACTTTGTGCAACTAGACTACCACTACTTGGGAAATGAAAGAGGAACTGAAGTTGCAGCAAGCTGAGATCCCACCAGTCCAGAACTTGAAAGGAAAGGGTTTGGATTTTTCCTGAAAGATGGTGCAAAGACTGCAGCAGTGAAAGACTTATTCTGTTCCTGACTGCTGTGTGTAGTCTACTGAGGTTTTAGGATAGACACCTAAACAGTGATTTTCTAAACATTTTTGGTTTTAATACTCAACTCATTTTTCTTCTGTTCCTTAACATTTTTGCAGGGTAATTTCTGTTTTGTTTTTCAAACAGAAGGGGTGTCAGATTGGGTTACATCAGCAAGATTTGACATAGCTAGCACTGGGTACCCCAGAAGCAGACTGCTCCAGCCACAGCAAGTCAGTCAGTGACAGATGGACAGTTTCTGGAGGGGAAGTCTTTCCCCTCTCCTAGTTTTCCACTTCTGGAAGAACTGATGATCAACAACCCTGAAAAGTGACTTCCCTAGCAGTTGCAGTGACCATGGAGAGAACAGGATTAAAAAAATATGGCAAATGAAATCCCAGCAGCATTGAACAAGTGATCCTTCTGAAGAAAAATGTAGCTTTCCGTACCTGAGTTTGGTGTTTATCTGGAGGGCTTTGGCGAGCATCTTTGCCCCCATGTCTCCCATTCCATTTCCACTAATATCCACTTTTGTAAGAGAAGTATTGCTGCCCAGTGCATTGATAATTATGGTAACCTCAGTCTTCAACTTGGAATCTGCGAGGGACAGTGACTGCAAAGGCTGAGGAAAATGTAAACAGCATACAGTTGAGGATCCATTCTTCTATTATACACCAAGAAAAAGAGGACGTCCTCCTTATAAGCTAATGAGCCTCCCAAAAGCTTGGGGTGAACACTTTGTATCACATTGCTCTCTGTGTTCATTAAAGCTATCAGAACACACAAGAAATATCACATAACACACTGATCTGAAATCCCTGAAATACAATTAAGAACCAGTAAAATGACCTGTAAATCTCATTGTGAAGTTCATTTCTTTATGAGATTTTATTATGGAAATATTACAGAAACCTATATTAAAGATTCTTTTCTAAAGGAAAAAACCAAAATGTCTGGATGGTCTGACCCAATTTTTTTATGAATGAGAAAAGTCCCTTGTAGACATGGATAAGTTGACTAGAAAGGTAACTGTGATTACTGTCCACTGTGGAATACTGATACCTACCTACCTACCTACCTATCGGGCTAGTTTAACAGAAGGAGGGGCTTAGGGATTTTAGAGTGAATATACAGTTGCAATTGCAGTAGATATAGATATATATAGATATCTATCTAGCTATATATATATTTTAACCAACTTTTCTACTGCAATTGCAACTGTATATTGACTCTAAAATCTTTACAGATCAAGATATTCTGTGCCCTGTTTGCTAGATACCACTTTGTTATAACAATACCAAAAAAGTCCGTGACAATGAAATGTGCATTTATACAGAGAAAACATGTAGAGATTTGGAAGTGTGGTCTTATAATTAAAACGCCTAATAATGACAAATGGCATTCATCAATGTTATTTAAAAAAAAAAGCTCTCAAATTCCTATGTTAATTCTCTTAATCTGTACAACTTCCCTATTTCATTTCACTGTGTAGTCTAAAGACATAGTAGCTTTATATTGCAACACTGTTTGAGATTGGTAAGGACAAGTTTAATCGCTTTGCTGACTGCTTCTGTTATAGATTCACAGTAGAAAGGAAGCTATTCTATACAAAACACACCAATCAGTTTAGCAGTACTTGCCTAAGCTAGATGGTTTGCTTTAGATCATTACCTCCAAATAAAACAGCAAAACAAAATCTTATAATAAGATGTCATAGTATCCTTCATTTTAAGTCTGTGATGAAGAAAATTCAATTATTGTGGAGATGGTCATACAGTAAATGCCACATTCTTTAACAATGAAATATTAGCCTAACAGTTTTCATCACTATCCAATATATTGAATTTCCTTTCAGCTTTTGCAATCTATGTTTAGATCTGTGTTTGTTTAACTTAATAAAAACACTTATTTGCAAAGATAAAGATGAAACTTTCAGAAGAACTTCTTTCCTAAGAAAATCCTGGAGATATATACTCCTATAAAACCGAATTCATATCACATCAACTGGAGAATTGCTGACCTGGCCGAAGAAGTTATAATTCCAACACATAAATAAGACCTATAATACCTGATTATATGCACATTTGTAAGATCACTATTACTTAATGCATTATAAATGACAACCATTTTGGGACCCAATCCTGCAAAATAACAATTCCCTTCCTGGAAATGCACCGAATCCCGACTAATTTGACCCTGTCACCCCATTGCCTAAATGTGCCCTGGGACTCTCCATGTTTGGGGCATCAGCTTCAAATTTCTTATTCCAACTTTGGCAGACAAGGGTCTTTGGGTAAATGTGATATTGTTTATTAGACTGACTAAACAGTTGGAAAAATTGTTCTTTACAAGCTTTCAGGCACAACACCCTTCTTCAGGAATAGGGAGAGTCTCCCCTGGGCGGAATAGAAACTTAAGCCGATATGCAAAATGCAGGTCTGTGAAAATGCAAAGGTTGGGTGTTAATAAGTGGGAGATAGGTAGGTGGGTAGGAGGAGAAGTGGGGTGGAGAGAGAGAGGAATGTTGCCCTGGTGACAGAAGGTAGCTGGTAAAATTCAGAGACTTTCCTTGTCCCAACTTTCAGTTTTCTCCCTCTCCTCATTTATTTAAGTTTTTCTTAATACACTTTGCTTTCCCCCCTTCCATATCAGTGGTGCCAGCTTGGATAAACGCATTTGCCAGCACTTCCTCTCACGCTAGCTCTTAACATACAGAAACTCCACTTCCCTGAGCTGACTCAACTGGCTGTGACTTTTCTCCTGATTTCAATTCTTCCTTAGGATTCCTCTTCTTCTGAAATGCCAACAAGCAAGAAACCAACCAGGACATTTGAACACAGAAAAAAACCCACTCCACTCCTCCTTTCTTCAGCAAATACCTCTTATTATCTGGCTGCTGTTACCTTATCTTTACTCCTTTAGCCCCTCCTTCTGTTAAACTAACCCTTGGTCCAGTACTGAAATGTGATATGCTTGCAAATTCCCAAGGCAGGAGTTTTGTCTTTTATATGCTTTGTGAGATGCACAGTATATACTCTCAGGTGCTGCAGTGCAATAAACAACAAATATAACACTAGCTGCTCCTGTCTCTTGCTGGCTGAAGAATGAAAATCATAACCCAAACTGCTGTATGTGGGAATGAGTGGTTTTGGTTTCAACTAGACTTCTAGAGTACCCCCATACACCATGGTGTGCCTCTGATGCTGATGTAAGTTCATTTTCCCAAGCTGAATAAAACTGCCAAATGTGACTTTATGTTCCCATCATTTTGTTTGCTGAAACAACCAATAATGTATTACTTTTATCCAGAGGTGGGAGTTTGGCAGGGGTAAACTTGTGCTCCTGTTCATACTTAAGGGACCTGGCTGAAGGATCTTTGCTCAGGATCAAATCAATTGCTAGATTTTGGGTCAAGAAGGGATTCTCTCTCCCCAGATAAGGCTGGCAAGAATTGCACTTTTTTTTGCTTTTCTCTGCAGCATGGGCATGGTCTTCCTCCTTGGATCATCTGAGTCTGTATTAACCTAATGTACGTCCTGCCATTGCAACAGCAAGGCATTAACAGTTTTCCCAATGCCTATCCTGTTCTTTACCTGTGGCATGCTGTAGGTTTGTTTTTGTTCCCTCATATTTCATTTTTAAGTAGCGCATGTTGTGGCTCTGGTGCGGGAGGGGTCGGAAAGGATGCTCGCATGGACCCACTGGACAAGGAGTTGCCTGCAAACCTCAGGGACTGGGTTTGATGGCCTGGAGGGATGTATGCGTCAATGTTTATCATCTATTTTGAGAAGCTATCTTTCCATTATAAAGTACAGCAGCCTTTCTATGAAAGGCAAAGGTTTGAGGGAATGGGGTGGGGGCACAGTCAGAAAAAACTAATGTGTCAACACCAAAAAACTGTTCCCAAGAATGGGATGGTATCAAACTTCCTCTTTCAAAAATGCTTTTGAAAAAATTCTGAACTTGAAGACATCTTATTTTGTCATTTTCAAAAGTATTTCTGTTTTCAAGTCACAGTGACTATGATTTCTGACATTTAAAAAAGTATAAATAAAAATTAAACACCTGGATTGACAAGATGCTTTTTTTTTCCAGTCTGTGAAAATCTGGGATTTCAACTCCTTGCCCTGATTAAGTATAGGAAAAGTTTTCTACATCTTATAAATACAGAAACTCATAATTGAAAGGGGCCTCCTGAACCACTCAAGTCCAGTCCTCTGTGTTTACAGGCAATTGTTAATACAAGGAAGCCACAAAATCATGATCTCACTCATTACTACAGGGCATAATAAAATATTATTATAGATTGTGGAAATCATTTCCTGCCCAGCCATATTAAGCATACTGAAGTTAGTTTATTAACTTCATTAGATAGTTTATTGTTCAAAACAATTCCCTGTGAAATAATTGTGTAACTCCTACAGATAAATACATCTAGTGACATGTTAAAAAATATATACTGTAGCATGTACTCAGTGGGTGCATCTACATGAGACACTTTGCTGCATATTAGGCTAACCTCTAATGTGCAGTAAAGCATCACCATCTACATGTACGCAGCAATTACTGCACAGTAGATAAATCTAATGTGCTGTTTTTCAGTACCTGTAGATATCAGTACTAGAAATTAGTGCATTATACTAATATGCTGAAGCGCACATGAAGACGCTGACTGGGAGCAAATTGCAAAGTGTCCAGAGGGCCACATGGGGCGGGGACAGCTGTCCTGCCCTAGCAGAATGATGCCTCCCAGCCACGTGGGGACTGGGACCTAACCAGATCTCCACATGGCTGGAAGAGCTGTCCCAGTTGCTAGGCAGCTGCCTCATGTCCTGATTTCCACGTGACTGGGAGGTAGCTCCCTGGCTGCCTGGACAGCTCTCCCATTGGGACCAGTCCCTGTGCCCCTTGCCAGCTCAGGACTGGCACCCTGGGGAGCCTGGAGCTCCCCTTGACTGTTGCAGGAAGGCAGAGCAGAGCAGAAGCAGCCCTGGATTGAACTGCTCCCACAGATTTGCTACCGCACATTCAGATGCATGCACAGCCACAATATAAACGTGCCTGAATTTTCTGCACAGAAAATTCAGGTACATTAATTGCATGCATAGACACGGCCAGTGTGGGCTGCACTGAAAATGTCTTTCAGTTCCATACCACTGGTAGAGAAGTAGGTGAATTGCTAATTCGTTTTCTTTTATAGTTTGTTTTCTTCCCTACAGAATGACTAATGAGGGAAATGATTTAAATTATTTGGTGTCATGACTACAGAAATATAAAATCAGAAGAAAGCTTACCTCTACACCATTCAAAAAAACCCAACAAAAGCAAAACTACAGCTGTTGAACATGCATAAGAATTTAAAAGAGCTATACATTTGTTTAAAAAAACCCTATGAATACATGCCATACTGCATAAACCATAAAAACTCTGTATTTTCCAGTACTACACAAAGGTTCTGGCCAGATATTGATATGAGGTACATTTAATGCACGTTTCAGTTTGTCTTGCTGTAGAACACAGAGGCTGCACCACAAGATTAAACATCTTTTAGAATGATCTTCTAAAGGGAAAAGGGAAAAAATATTTCTTAGAGCCAAGAATGGAATTAGAAAGCATACTGCATTTGACATTGCCAGCTTCCTACTGGGAACACTTCAGAGTTAAAATCAAATTAAATTGGTGTGTCTATGAGCAGAACTGCATCAGGAAGAAAAATTAGGCATGCAAAATATAGAGCCCTGATACTATACTGCAGTGCTGGGCAATAAAATTTTTTATGGGCTGTGCAGCATAGAGTCTATTTATAGAGGAGACAGCAAAAATTCAGATATTGCAGTCTCATGCATATTTAACACCTGGTGTTCTGTTTCTTTCAAAATTGTGTGGAGGGTGGTATTTGTACCTGGTTGTACTTCTGTAGACTTGATACCAAACTACTAATCATTTAAAAAATTTCATCCACTTCTCTCCTCGTTCATTATGGCTATAAAAAGAAAACAGTTACATAAGAACACTAACCAGTAATTCACCCACATCTCTATCGATAGTTTGAAAATGAGAAAGCCTTTAAAAACAGCACATTTACAACATGGCAATAACTTTTTTCCAAGTACAGATAAATATAAGAATGATTTTCCAGGCAATTGTATTCTATTACAAATTCTCCTTCCAGTGACCTAAAAAGGATAGCTTCAGCCAGTGATTCTCAACCAGGGTGCATTCAGGGGTGCCACAGGGTCCAAACAATGTTAGGACTGCTAGGTGTGCAAACATAATTACAAGATAAATCCAGATATTCCAAACAAGAATTTATGATTTTTAAAACATTCTATCCTGTTGTGTTCCAAGTTCTTTGCAACAGAAGAGCTACTCTATTATTTTTCTGTAGTCGAAAACCAAATGAAAACTAAGATCTGGCAGTTTCCAAGATGTGCCTTGAGTCTAACGAAGGGTGCCTTGAATCTAAAAATGTTGAGAACCACTGACTTAAGCAAATGCCAGTTTCTACAAAGCTGTAGATCAGCTACTTAACTAATGATCGGAAAAAACCCCCTCATCCTTATGATTACTCCAACAAGCAAACAAAAGAATGTTAGGAGTCAGTTTACAATACTACTAAGCTTATAAAGGTGATGATGCCTCAGTTCCAGAAGTGTGAACAGAAACGGAGCACTCCTCAGCTCCTTCCTACACAGGATGTCAGAATTTAGATTCTGACATCTCAAGACAGCTCAATCCTTTAGCTGGTAAGAGACATTTTTATGATTCATTTCAGCATTCAGACACTTCACAATGCAGATAAATAGGATCCCTACCCCAATGAGTTACAAAATAATTGCAATCACAGTGAAAGGACAAGGGAAAGATAACAGTAAGGAAGGGACAGGGAAAGAAGAAACAAATTACCAGAAATGTAATCACATGGTTTTGTCAGGAAGGAGGCTAGGCAGGCAGTCCTTTTCAAATGTGTAAATACATTACGTGTTTTAGTTGGCTCTCTCTTTTATATGTTACAGAAGAAGCCTGTTTGAAGGTGGGCTGTGACTGGAAGAAGGATGAGTATACTTCACTGATTATTCAGGACAGGCATAGCAGGTGGCGTAGAAGAAAGCCTGGGTCTGTACAATGGGTATACAGAAGACATATGGAGGCTGGCATTATTCACATGGTAAGAGAAGAGATTAGATAAGTAGAGAGGAAGGGGTAGGGTTATATCAGGCCTTAAAACAGAAAACAAGAAGCCAAGCTGATATTGTGTAAGAGGTGAAGCCAGCAGAAGGATCTGAAGAGTGCTTAGCACCTGCATCAACAGGAAGATGCAAAATAGAATTATGGGAAGCCAAAGAACAGAAGGTTGTAATAATTCAGGACAGGACTTGAGATAAAGACCTGAATGAGAGTTCTCGCTGCATGGGCAGAAAACATGGGCAGAAAAAACTATTTAACTAGGAAGGTAAGCAGTATGAAGGCATATTTTAATAAGGAGAATTGGATATTGGGCTCCCATAGATGTGCAAAGAGAGAAAGGAGCTGAAGATGTATGGTGTGTACAGACCTGAGTAGTTGGAAAAATGGTGTCACGGTCACCAAAAAACTGTACAGGCAAATGGTTTCAGAAGGTAACTCAAGAATTTATATTTGGTCACATAAAACATGAACTGATGCAGAGATGCATCTGAGGAAGCACTGGAGATTCAGCATGACACAAAATTGGATGGCAAGAGCCAGGGCAGGAATGAGGAAGCAGAAAGTAGAAGCCAAGTGAGGAGATGAAATAGTCCATAGTAAGGAAGAAGAGGGCACAGAAGCCTGTGCAAACCCAGTGGACCAAGGGTTGACAATCTACGCCTGACAGGCCAGATCTGGCTCCCAAAGCCATTTGATCCAATCTGTAGACATGGGGCTTTGGTGGTGGGAGGCTTCAACAGCAGTTGATTTCTCCTGCTGCTGCTCAGAAAAAGCAGCAGTAACTGAGTCCTAGCACCTATCATTCCTGCCTCTGACCTGAAATGGGTCAATTCAGCCCTCAGCCTTAAAAGGTTTCCAACTGTTGTTATGGACATCAGAGTAGGGTGTTAAAGATGCCCTAAGATTCAGGCGAACTAGAAAAAGGCAGCCTCATAAAAAGTAACAAGACATCAAGAAGGAGAGTGGGACAAACTGTTTCAAAAGCAACTAATAAGGTTAAGGGAGAAGTAGAGGTCCAAAAATATGGCTAGAAAGTAGCCATCATCCTTAGAAACCTTGAGGAATGCAGTTGCAGTGGAGTAGAGAGAAGATGCAAGATGGCAAGAGGCTAGGAAGAAAGGAAGTGGAAGAAATACCTGCAGACTATGGATTCAATGAACTTGGATGTGAAGGTGGGGGAGGGAGGGGAGGGGAGGGGACTGAAAAAAGATAAGCCAGTTGCTGGAGAGGCAGCTGAAATCAAAAATCAATTATTTTGGAGAATGAGGGAAGTAGAATAGACTCATAATTTGACCGGAAGGACAGAAAAGGTGGGAGAATCATATAAAAGAATGCCTGGAAGAGCTCTCGGGAGATCATCTAGTCCAAGCCCCTGCTTAAGGTGGGATCCTCCCCGTCTAAACCATACCAGGCAAATGTTTTTCTAGGAATGTCTGTAATGCCAAAAGACATCAGCAGGCAGAAGACTACCATGCTCATAATCACCAAAGCCCCCCCAAATCATTTCTGTTAAAACCAGGAACAATGGTCATGACACAGTGGTGGTAGGGATTTGGGGGGGAGGGGGGGCGCGGGGGAAGGGAGGTGTTCCAGTCTAAGGATGCCAGGAGGGTCCTCAGTGAAAAGAGGTTGTAAAATGACCCAATAAAATGGAGTTTCCCAAGAACCCAAAATACAATAACATGTAAAGGAAAACCTTGTTTTACTCTTTCTCTATTTTTCCTTTTAGATGAAAGGGGTTCTATAGTGGGTGGATGAAGTGACTTCACATGAGCACAAAAAGGTTCCCCAAGAACAACAGTAAGTGACTTGATAACTTATTCTGCAAGTCTTGAAAGACTGCATTAAAAATTACATACACTAATTTGAAATGTTACTCACCCACCCCCCACCCAAAGTCCTACAATTACAATCTCCAATACAGACATGAAAACATCCAAATTCTGAGACTATAGGCCTATATGAGTGAGACTGAAAGAAAAGTGGGTTAAGAATGTCAGACCATGTGGAGGAATAACCTATTCTTTCAATGAAGGTAGATCTTATTTTCATGTAGAGAGAGTTATAAACATGCAACAAGTGAAGAGCATATCTTATAACCATGCTATCCTAATTACAATATGAAGCCTGTCCCTTATTTCACAAAAAAAAGAAATGCTGAAATAGTCAAAAACATATCTCTGTGTGATGTCAAAAAATACAGAGAAAACAAACACAATGAGGCAAAGCACTGGCAATAAAGTGCAAGGATAATGGTAGAAAAACATTCATTATTATAGTAGGATACTCACTGAATCCTCATCTTGAATCATTTGTACTAAATTGTCAAGTACAGGAGTAAGATTTCTGAAATGACCAAAAAAAAGGAGACAATGAAATCAATAGCTTTTATTCATCAATTTTCTTACTGTTTACAAGAAATAAAAGCCTTACTTAGATTTCATGTTGTTAAAATTTTTTCCCAATGCCAAGTGTCTTATTGATCGGTTTTTACTAAGCCAGACTACAAGGGTCGAGAGATCAGATTCTAGGCCTGCAAGGAATCAGAGTAAACGCAGAATTAAACACACACTGTTCCAAACGTATTTGCCAAAACCAGCAAAACCTTATTTGCTTAGGCAACTTTACCTAAATGGCACTGGAACCCTTACTCTTCATTCTTTTATTTTTAAATTTGTTCTCCATTTGTTTTCCTTTGTTCCATACACATAGCTGCTATTCTTTTTTTAAGGGACCATCTAAATCTCTCCACTAATCACACATAATCAGAAAAGAGGAGGAGGACTTAATCCCTGATCCTTAGTTCACCAGCCAAGATTTATGACAAACATTGTTCTCTTTGTTAGACAGAAGAGGTATGTTTTCTGCTCTTTTGGGAATTAGAGAACGTGTTGCATTTTTTACCCAACCTCAACAGGCTCATGCAGCTTCCAAACAAGGAGGCCAACATAGCAGCTTGTCAATAAACTGACTTGCTAAAATGAGCCATGTTTTATTTTGTTCCTGGGCATGAAAAATACCCGATGCCCTTTTCCCAAAATACTAAAGAAAATTAAGTTTCTACTGATTTAATTTAGTAAACTACAGTTGCTGGCACTGAGGTGTTTAATGAAACCAATGGGTGTTTGGCACCTAAATACCATTACGAATCTGAGGCCTAGGGAGTGCTATCATAGGTTTAAACCAGGGACTCACTTTGCTCTTATGCCATTCTTAACCAACCGTGGCAACATGAAAAAGTCCTCAGCAAGGTCTCCTGGTATATGGACATAATTTTTGATTTTTCTACTCTTGGCTAAATGTGGCTGCAGCTGACAGGGAGAGAAGCCAAACACTGCAGGACTGGGGAACTCAAAAGTTGATACAATGATTATCCCTCACCCTCAGGAACCTACTGAACCCAAAACAATGGAGTAAATGCACCTCTTCCTATAAGGGCACTATGATGCAAAGTTTCCATGCCCTTGCCATGTGATGTTGGGTGAACACTGCAGAGAGGAGAAAACCAGAGACTCCATAGAAAAAGTAGCAGCCAGCGCAGGGACCTCTGAGTATTCAAAGCACTTTCTGAATGAGTGAACCTTCTCCGCCCTGTGCTGATTGCCTATTCACTCCCTTCCCACTCCCTACCCCTTGCAGTCTCTTCAACTCCATTTCACTCCAGACTGCCCCTCTTTTTCTCTTATCCCTGTCCTTCTCACTGTCATTTCCCTTTGCTTTAAGTTTAGCAAACCCCTTCCTAATTTATCCCCGAGAAAAAAATTCCATGGTTTTAATCTGACATCTGATGGCATCGCACATTTACTCTGCTTGTGCCATACTTGTCCCATTCTATGCATCTGTCTGCTTGGTCTATTTAGCTTGTAAGCTCCGTGGGGCAGAAGAATTCTGCTACTCGCCTTGTACAACACCTTGCACAATGAGTCCCATTTTTGGTTGGTATTACTATAATAACAACAACGTGTATACTACCCTAGATCACAACATGAGCCGAAATAACCAAACTCACATCTCTCAATCAGTTTCTATATCTGCATTACACTGTGCCCTTTTTACTTTTACTTACCATTGTCCGAAATGTCTAGGCTGGTGATATTGTGTATTTCTGCAATGCATCCTTCCAAAACTTGTGCACCTCCTGATCTCAACTAGAGACAAAACATCAGCAATTTTTCCAACTAATTAAGGTTTTGAGATCACACAGAAAATAGCAGCAGGAGTTTTGTACATACACAGGAATCACCTCTAGCAAAACAAGAGCAAAATTATAACTTTCTGATATATAACTCACTATGATTAATGTTCTAGTTTGAACATTTATAACAGCGATAGAACAAAACAGTCCCACAGCCCATACACAAATTCTCATTATGTTAACTTTTCTTAATATAAGAAAAAATAATTTTTTTCTTTCTGCTAAAAAGTATTGGACAAAAATTTAGCCAGGTGAAGGGTTAAATGGAACAGACAGAACACTGTTTAATCCATTTAACTAAGGAGGAGACTTCTGGAACTTGCAGCTTGCCGTTTCTGTAAAATGTTTGGGTCTCAGATCGAAAGAATGTTGATCAATCAACACAACCAAAGACAACACACAGCCTTTTTACTCTTGAGATCTACCAGAAACTGAGTTTTATAGTAACAGTCCTGCATTACCTCTGAGTACCAAAGGAAGGGGCAAAGTTGCACCATGTTTGTAGCAAAGAGAAGGGAGTTATTCCCAAACTGGTACAAGTCAAGAATGAATGGAAGGCTGATCTTTTTCTGGCAAATCCGAATGTTTTCTAAACTTTCTGATGGTTACAAAATATAACAAAATTCATTAAAAAACTTACTGAGAACTGGGGATGAGTTAAAAATATTAGAAAGAAAGACCTAGCTGCATTACTCCATTGTTAATCTGAGGATTCAACTGAAGTTTTAAGATTTAGTGAAAAGACTAAAATGGCAACAAAGGAAAAGGATGGCTGTAAATTAGAAATTTGCCAAATATTTGCCACTTCATGAAACTGAAAGATATATTTTTCTTAGTATAAAACTGCCATTTCATCCATGATGGGAGAAGGCTGTTTGTCTGTGGAAATCATCATCATAAAGAGGGTCAATTTGACCAAATATCCCAAATCAAACTGCAAATTGCGAGGCAAATTTAAGGAAAAAACAATTCTTTAATCCATCTCTAATTCAGGATCTAGCAAAATTCTGTATTAACATTTTTCAATTAATACTGATGTTCTGGCATTTTTGGAATAGTTACAGTTTTCTGATTGACAAAGCAAGAGCTTAATGCTCCAGTTTAAACTTTTAAAGTAAGACTGGGAAAACTCAAAATCCTAATTATAAGATGCACCCAAACCAAGGAGCAGAGTTTGTCTGTAGCCTCTCTCCTTGCAAAGGGCTGAAACAAAGCTCAAGCTCTGAACACCCCCAGAACTGATTAAATTAGAAATGAGGATGTGGATGTCAAGTTGTGCAACTTCAGCCCATCTCTAATTTATTAAAAGCATTTGTAACACTTGCCATATGAATGCCAGAATCATTCAGTTTCACTGAGACTCTCACAATCTCACTCACCATTCGACAGCGCTTTCACACATGCTGCCACATTCATTATTGCTAAACTGATGGAGTTGACAGACTAGAGTCTTGTCAAAATTAAAACCAACACCCCCACTGGAATTCATTTCTAATAGAAAATAAATTATAACATTCCATTTAGATAGTGTTTGATTAAGATGGTGGAGTGCCAATTACACAGATTTTCCTCTATATATTTTATTGCTTACGTTTTATCAGAAAGTCAGTTTCTGTACTACAATGCCTTTCTGGATTAAAAATAGGGGGTTTACATAAATATACAGCAGTCTACATTGCTAGTGCAGGGCAATTTCCTTACACTAAAATTACATCCAGAATAGGATAAGAAATGTTAATTCTACACAAGCTTTTAAGTGTACATCAGAGCATCTTCTAAGTTTAAACCCACAATTTTATATAAGTTCATGAACACAAATAAAAGGATGCCAACTGTGAAGGTGAAGGAATATTTGATCCCCAAAGTCAAATGGTTATCAAAAATCTGCTATTAGTCCTACAAAAGACTGGGCATACAGAGCATTCCTTTGTAAATTTGGCCCATAATGTTTTAAAGGCACACCCACCCCGTGTGCCTGCTTCTGCAACTGCAAACACCAGTAAATTACACATTAGTAACCAGCTCTTCAAGAACTAAAAGTTAGAAAGTATGGTAGCAATATGGTACCAGTATGCAGGAAATGAAAACAAAGCTGCTTTCTGATTCAACAGTTAAAAAGCTGAAGGTAAAGCATGGAGGGTACTTACACAGTGACCAAGCTAAGGGAGGCAGCAGGGAAAAGAGTGAAATATTTCAGTGCTAAGCAGGAAGAAATAAAAATGCAACTGTCATAATAAAATCTGGCAATACAAAATGATAAAGTCTGGGATTGGAGTTAGTACATCCAAAATTACATGTGCACGCAACTTAAAAGGAAAAAAGAAAGGGAGATATTTCAGATTTTAGGCCTGGTTTTGCAGCCGGACATGGCTTGCTTGAGCACAGGAAAAGCAAAGGGGAACAGCATTGGATTTCCTGCTTCCTATTGTTGCACACTGACAGCAGCTGGAGGAGGAAATGGAGAAACTGGCTAAATGTTTGCTACTTTATAAAAAAGCGCGAGCTGCCCGGTTCAAATCAGAATTGCTGGGAACTGGGTCTAAGCATGTTATCCTCAAGGCTTATTCCAGGTTGCTTTCCTGACCCACATTCTGAATGAGACCACTGGGGGCATATCTATTTTTAACAAGCACAAAAAAAAAGAAAAAAAAATGAGGCATAGTAATGAGAAAAAAGGCTAGGCAGGGTGGCACTTTATAAAGTGACTCACACCGAGAAGCATGAGCTTTTGTAGGCTACAGCCTACTTTGTCAGGTGCTTGCAGAGAGGGAAAGTGTCACGCTGCCCTACCTTCTGCCTAGCTCCAGATAAACATGAATAACTACCTCTAAATTAATGAGGGGAAACAGTCAAGGAGGGGACTGAGGAGAAGTGGTCAGCAGAGGGATGGGCTTAAATTAATTCCTTACAGATGTTTCCTGTTCACCATCTGTCTTGGGGCAGTAAACCTTAAAACCAAAAGGCAGAGCGAAGCATTCCCTTTCTACTTTGACACTGTTTAAAAAGGGAAGCATTCCATTTTTACTTTGACAGGGCTATTGCCCTGTCCTAGAATATAAGCTACATGGATCAATACAGACTTAGGTACCTAAGGAAGGCCAAGGTAAGAAAAGGATTGATCTCTGTGCAGGCCATGAAGAGGGCTCATGAGGTCACAGGAATACATCATGACCGGGCCAGGCCTGGAGTCCAACACAGCAGAGCCCCTGGTTGAGAGGCTTTCCCCAGTCCCGTTCTAAAGACCTGACAGATCAGCTTTCTCTTCTTTCTGCTGGTTTATAGTGTCCATGCCTGATTCACCAGATCACACTCATTGGGTGCCTATACATGTGTTCCAGGGTGGAGGGGAGCTGCTCTAATTAAAACACTTGCAGCGTCTCATGTATTTGTTCGACGAACTTTAATTGAAGTGCCCCCGCTGCCATTTTGAAACGTGGGATGCTGAATACACGAGACACCATAGCACGCTGGAACGCTTTGGTTAGAACATGCCAGCAGACTTGATTCATCTGCTCAATTAAGTGAGTGTGCTCCATTGCATTCTAATCAGAATGTATTGGAGCATGTGTAAAAATTCCCATTAGTGCTAGCATATGAAGCAATGCCTGAGTTCCTTCTGTGACCCCTGGACAACAACATACTGTTTATATACAAATCACTATTTTTGGGGGGTGTTTTAAAGGCAAGATTTTTTTTTCCAAATAAAAATAAAATGCACTCTAAAACAACCACCCCTACCTTACCCAGGGGAAGTTATTGTCCCACTCATTCACCTACCTGGAAATAAAAAGCACATATGCTTGATGTGAAAGCTTTTTTACTGCTCCTTAAAAGAAAACTAGTTTCCGAAAAGGTACCAACCATCAACAGAAAGTATTAAATGCATTTAAAATGGATTACTTCACTCATCAAGGAAGCTAAAGAGGTGCCAAATGTAACTCATGCTCCTTACTGTGTGACCAACCATAAACCTAAGTCAAGGATTAATGCACTTCACTATATTCCAGAGTTGAGTTTTTCAAACATGTTTATTCTTTCAAAGTGAACTAAAGTTAATAAATCTGCTTAGGCCTTTTTTTTTTCTTCTTATTTTGCAGGAAGGGCAAAAGGGTAAAGGGAAAGGAAAGTGCTGGTCATTATTATCATTGTAAGGCAAGCAAACAAACATCTACACATGAAAAACCCAGAGATTTCAAATAAGAATCCATTGTGCCAAAAATACTCTAATCTGTTGTGGTCTTTCCAAGTTCTTTGCAGCAGAAGAATTGCTATAACATTTTTCTGCAATCAAAATGTCGTTAAGCTAATATAAGCGTTTTCTGAGGGGCTCCTTTAGTTTAACAAGGGGTGCCTTGAGTCTAACGAGGCTGAGAACCACTACCCTACCTTATTGATAAGGAAATCAGTCTCTCTCAAGGTTTAAAAGTGAATCTTGGGAAATGTTGCATACACCTTAAGAAATTCTAGTGAGCAGTAGTAAAACTGCTCCTTCAAAATAGGTTGCTTCTTCTGACCCATGTAGCTTTGACTGCACAGAGCTTAGAAAAGCCCACTCTCCATTTCCTGACTTCACAGGTCCATAATACAGATGCTGCCACACAAATAAGAGTGTGGCGCTCTACATATCCCAGGAAAATATTCTTGTTCATAACTGAGTGGCAGAATGCACACAAGAGCTTATATTTATCAGGCACCTTCTATTAATCCTTTCTATACCTTCTAACTATGAAAGGGAACATTTTGCCCCATGTGTCTAAGGAAAACAGTAATTCCAAATAATTGAGACTTTTCCATTTGTTCAGGTAAATGGTTCTTACCTCACAGCTACTGAGATCTAAAGATACCTCCTTCAGGTTATGATTGCAAGCCAGGCCTAATAAGAGTGCTCTGAAAAAGAACAATGTAAAAACAATTATACAACACTAAATTTACCACGGCAAAAGGTTTGCTAAGCAACTGCAGGTTACCAGTACTAAAAAAAAATAGGAAGAGCCATTTTGGAAACAACACGCACCAGTTAATGTTGTTACTCGGAAATGGCAATGACAGTATAACTCTCTTTGCCACACTGATACCCCAACAGTAAATCCAAAACCTGCAGGGAAGCAATGTATACAACAAATAGTAAAACTAATTGTGCATCGAAGTTTAATTGTATTAAATCACAGACACATTTTCTTCTATGGCTACCTTAAAAAAAAAAATCAGTTATTACAAAATTATAGAGCAATCGTGGCAGTACACTAATGATTCTTCTGCAAAACCTGGAAAACAGGGCTTATAATGAAGGCATGGTGCACTGATGTCACACTGCCATGATTAACTTTGTGAGATGGAGATTTTTGTTTCTAGGCAGTGTTTAAATATTTTAATGCTAGAAGTCTGTGACTTGAAAATCTGTTATTTTCACTTTCAAAGGCATACTTCTGTATTCAGTTGTGGTTTTGTGATGAAGGACTGTTCCACAAGATTAGACAAGCAACTACTAGTCAGCTGTTTATGTCAAATGTGACATTTAGCAAGATTCAGAAGCAAATACTGGTTAGCCTTATTCCCCTTTAAGTATTATTTTGGAAAGATACCAAAACATACATATAATTCTATATTTGTTCATGTTGCGGTATTTTTAAACCTTTCAAAATGGTAACTCCAAAAACATGGATGTTCCTTACCTTTCACTTCCATGACACATAGGAAAGGACCCTAAACGGGGAAAGACTGTCCAGGATTAAAGAAATCCTTAACATAGCTCCACTGACATAAATGGAATTCCATTAGTTATGAATTTGGTTCCATGTAGTTAAATGATAATGTTTGTACTAGAATCTCAACAGTAGTCGGTGCACAAACATGTATGGATGACAGTGAGCCATGAACCCTGGAGACCTGTTAATGGGCTTTCATTCAGCAGCAACTGCTGCAAACCAGTTTGTTTTCCAACACAGTGGAATAAGTATTTTGCCTGCCCTTCATTTCAACCCACATCAAGATAACAGAATCCAAATTATCAGCACACCAAGATAAAAAAACGATCCATTTTACCAAGCCAGTTACCCAAATAAGGGCATTGTGTGCAGACAGTGTGTTGAGCCATAATCGAGAGTATGAAAGCATATGGTAGTCCAGATAAATCTTTCATTTAAACCAAATTATATCCGCCCCACGGATTGGAGTCATAGATTCAGCCCTTTGAAATTAACAAGGGCAAATGCCATCTATTTATTTATGTATTTTTCTAGGTTGCTGAAATTAAAGTACAACTTGGAAAAATTGCTCCTTTGAAACTGTGCAATCATTATGCATCAAAATAAACTCTTGCATAAAAAATGATAAAAGGACAGAAATACCTGATTGCTAGTGAGAGTGCACTATTTTATAAAACAGCTACTCTACCTCTGATCTCACAGATCTTGTCTTTAAAGGAAATAACACAATACTTTCAGAAAACAGGCCTGGGAACAGACATTCACAACTTTACTGGACGCTGAAAATAATGGACTTCATAGAGAAAATGGTTTTATAGCTCATTGTACCTTCCTGTTCACCTATTCCTTTCCCTCACATGTGGCAACACATTTCCCTTTGAAGTGATAAAATTCACTAATATAATTGGGCTAGGTTAAAGTAATTAATTTAATTTGCGCTTATCTTAAACTACGAGTGCTTTTTTCCCAGACCTAAAAGGACACTTGAAGCCTGAAAAATCAGCACCTATCATTCCTAACCCTACTGGCTGATATAAAGAAAGGTGTAGTTACACCTCACAAATGTTGTTTCTCTCATAATACTGGATCAGCATGCCTACACTAACGCCAACACTGCTACCATTTTTACGGACACCTTTCAGACTCCATATTCTAGTGGTTACAGTGCAGGACTGGGGATTTGAACTATTGGGTTCTATTTCAAGTTCATCCACTGGCCTGCTGTTAAGCAAGCTTCTTAAACTCTGTGACACCACGTTTTGGGGGAGTTTTTGAGGGGGGGGGTGTGTGTGGAGAGTGTTTGGGTTTTTTTCTTTTGTTTTGTTTTTCTTTTTTACAAAAAAGGAACGTCTCCCTTGCTCCCACAGCTGTTGCAAAGGACTACATCTTCAACAATATTTGACATACACAGATGAAATGTGCTACAAAAAGTCACTGGTACCACATAACACATTAAAGTTCTTGAGAGATTTTTCCAAATACATCTGGAAACAGCTTTCCATCCCCTCCCCCCGATACAATCTTCTTAACTTTTTGATTACTTAAATTAGGATCTTAATTTTAAGGGGTTTTCTTCCGATTAAAGATAAAAGTACTAAAGCAATCCTACCAAGAACATGCTGAGTCCCAAGCAGTATTAGAACTGAACTGAAACAATATCCCCGAGATATTTCTAAATTGCACTGTTCGATCCGTGTTAAGTTGATTTGAGGATGAAAACAAGGTGTACTGAGGGCTCCTACACTTTGAAGCATTTTTTAAATTCTTAGCATGGACAAAAGTAAAACCTCAAAGCAGAGCAAAGGCATAACAATGAAACAACCTAACAATGGTAGAGCCTTTAATAAAAGGGATATTGTAATAAATAAATCTAGAAAAACAAAACGAAGGCAGAAAATGTACAATAAAATCCCACATCTTAGTGTGGGTTCCTGAGAAAAACTAAACACGTGGGTCTCAATCCTCAGGTACTTAGGTCCATGCTTAAGTATAAACACATGAACAGTTCCACTCAAGTGTTAAAGTTAAACATAAGCTTTGATCTTTTCTCATGGTGTCTTTCATGAGAGCAATAGGATTTGCCGGTGTTGTTGACTGCCCATTCTGCCCATTACTATGACACATGCAAGTCACTATACTGTCATTACCAAGACAGAGTTAATACCCCTAAGGTTAATCAGGACAAAACAGGACATTTTTCAAAACCTACTTTTTTTGAAACACCACATGGGAAATGTGGTGCTTTAAAAAAAAAACTTCCCAGCACATGCAGGGCTAAAGCACAGGACACAACAAGGGAGATCATTATTATGGAGAGAATGGAAAGAAGGAAGGAGAATGGTTACAATAATAAGGTCACACAGCTTCTCACATTGGTTAAGCATTTCTTGTTTAATCTTATATGATGCTGCCTTACTCTCTATCAGTCCAGATCAAAAAACCAAAGGGATGGTGTTCTGCACTCTAGGGTATTTGTCCTCTTTCCCCCCTACATTTCCCCTCCACTTTTCTTCCATCCCTTCCTGATTCCACATCAAGTTTTGAGTCTCACTGATTCCACCCCAGGGTTTGAGCTTGAACCCCCATCATCCATCCTTTGATTTAGCTCTTAGCTATTGGTTACTCCCATCCATAGGTAACCACCTAATTCAAGTACTGTCTGCTTCCCACATACCAGCTTCTACAGCAATACATGTCATAACCACACAAGTCTACTCATGAGCTTTGTCTAAACTCGGAGTAAAATATTTGGCATTAGAAGGTGTTAGCTAACATTTCCAACATAACACTTGCTAGAAGAATAGCATAGAACCATAACCATGTATAGTTTAAAATGTGCTAGCTTGTCAAGATTAAGTTTACAGAAGAAAGAATGTTTTACATTCAGCCAATTTAATATGTTTTAAAATGATCCTTTTTGGACTTCAGGCACCCCTCATTAGACTCAAGGCTCCCCTCCATAACTTTTGTGAATCGAGCAGCACCCAATTTCAAAAAACAAATGTATACATTAAAGTGTTTACTTCCTTGCAGAAGTAGGAGTGGAGAAATCAGCTACAGAGGGACAAGCCTAAGCCTATGCTTATCTCGCCACACTTTCAAAGTACACCCTTCAAAGGAACTCTCAGTACCCTGGTTGAGAATCACTGGTCTAAAATGACACATTTACATTAGACATTCACTAGGTGTCCTAACTAGTAAGCTTTAAAAGCACTTAAAAAATATCCTACTCTAGAAAGGGCCACAGGCCTAGAAGCATATTCATACATCTTAAGAGTTAGAATGTTATTCACAATCAGCTGACACAATGGTAAATGTGGTTTGCCACAGTCTGGAATAGGCAGCAAATGAATTCTCCCCAGAAGAAAATGGAATAAAGCATTTACTTTAGAGGCTCAGGTGGAAGTTTGGTTCCTGAAAGGTTGATCTGCCTCAAAGCAAGTGAACTGCTGAAAAACTGTTTGAAAGATGGGGGGACTTCTTTTCCCTTCCTGCAAATTAAAAAGAACAAAAACAAAAACACATTTGACTATCCCTTATTCCAAAAGATTGCAGATTTTGTCTTTCAGGATCCATTGTGATGATACTTAAACAGGGTGACCATACATCCTGGTTTGGCTGGGACAGTCCCAGATTCCATAGGCCGGTCTCGGCCGGTTGGTCAAAAGTCTTGGGTCGGAGCCTGGCAGGGAGGCAGAGTGGCTTGGTGTGCCAGGTGGGCATGTGATCTCAGGAACATGCAAGGAGCAGGGGAGCGGGGGCTGTTGTAGGCCTAACACTTGTACTGCTCCCTCTTCCAGAAATATTTCTAATGGTGGAAATTTCCCATCCCTAGAAACACACACTTGTTTTCTTCATAGCAAAATGATTAAAGGCATGGAACATATTTTAGACATATATAACTAGGAATCTCTGTAAATAGCCAGAAGTGCCCCCTAGAGTGGCTTCTTTAATGCTTTTAATTTCTCTGCTTGCCCACCCCCCTCTCCACCTCCAACCCGATAGGCAGAGGTTTTAAATATGCCGTGGTTTTTGCTTCCTCAGCCATCAGCAGCAAACAGCCTGGCTGGCAGGACTCCTTTGCCAATTGGTGGGGGAGCAGCTAAATGAAAAACATTGAAGGAGCTGCTATGGGGGGCACTTCAGGAGTGATTTATGGAGATTCCTATAATAACATCTCCCACATACAACTTTTTTAAAAGCTAAAAGACTCTTGTAAGAGATGTTACTGTGTAGGTAGAAAAAAAATACAGTACAATAATTTTAGGAGTAGGAAACAATAATATTTTAATGCTTACCTGTGAGAAAAAACTGTCCTGGATAGGCTGAGAACAGCTAGGTGCTGAAGGCATCCACGAAGAAGAGCCCCACACACCTGAGAAATACAGGAATGTAGGTTCACTGCACATAAGTCTGCTTGGACTGTCAGGGGTGTTGTTTCTGAATCACCACCAAAAATTCTTACCATGTCTAGTGCACACTCCGTGTTGGATAAATCCAGATGAACCAGGGCGTTTGGCTGGGCCAAAAAACTGTACAAGTTCTTTAAATATGAAAAAAATATGTTAAGTTTTTTAGAAAGAGAAAGAGAGAGAGAGAGAGAGAGAGAGATTTTACACAGAACTATAATTTACTCCTAACTTCTCATATGCACTTCACACATTTTGAATTGAACCACCTTATTTTCAACAAATGATGTTTTTTCCTGACAGGCGTAACCTGCGAGACCTCAAAAGTAAAACACTCATTAAAATGACAGGACAGAAATGCTGCTTGTATCACAACCACCAAATAGTATTCTTGACATGCATGGCTTAATTTATCTTGCTACACATTTTTCAGAAAGTGTTAATTAATTTTAATTCAAAATAGATTGGAAAGGCAGTCATACTGCAAAAAGGCTAATCTGTTTTGAAAGTTTAAGTCAACCCTTTTTACTATGTTAGGCCAGTAACTAATTTGTGTTGTAATCTCATAATTTTTTCTGACTAGCCTTCATTTAAACACACACATTACTAGTATACTAGGGATTTTAAGAGATAATGTCAGATGGGTTTGATAACAAAACATATTAATGAATAAAGGCTATCAAGGATATATTATAAATACACTGGCCTACATAAAGGCTCCTGTTACATCAGGGCAATCACAAAACAATTAAAATTAGAGATAGGAATATTGTGGATTTTTTCCAGAAGTTTTGAGCATCCACTACTTCAAATAAAGTTAAGACAAGATGACAGGTCTCAGCCCTGCTGAAAAATCAGACCTCTACAATATCAGCTCATCCAGCCCATGTATCTCAATGTTCCCTATAATAATTTCCCATATCTACTCCATTATTTATTTCATTTTTATCTATTTATTTTTTCTGCTTTCTAAATCCCCTAATTTGTCAACATCCTTCCCTTTGTCCAAATTAGGCTCCTGGTCCCTTATGTTCAGGAAGATGCGTTTTATAAATGACTTCATAAATCTCCAGCAGATAACAAGAACTGTGAAAAATAACACAAAGCCACAAACACAGAAAACTATATGACACTTTAATTTGAATATTCAGATGGTATGTCAGCTGAAGATGGAGTCCTGTAATGAATGCTTTTTATTAATTCTTCATGTCTGAGGTGTGCATGACTCAACACAGAGGTTGTCAGAGACTGGGCTGGAAGAGGTGGTGAATATCTGAATAAATGTAATTGAGAACCTGTTGTCTTTCACTAACACAAAAAGACAGTTACAACCCACCATCATCATTTTACTGACACAAAGGACTTGGCCAATGAACTCTCAGTGAGAATTAATTCCTCAAAGTGCCATGACCTTCCCCTGTTCTGTCCCTAGAAAATATATACATTTATTTCATACAGACACAAAAAATTCAAACAAATGCATTTTTTAGCACTGATCTCTGCTCAAAGGTATGTGCACTAAGTCTGAAATCCAACTACTGGCACCTAACACCACTGGCTCATTTAATCATTTTATTTTTAATAAGTAAAATTTTTGCTGTCTACAAATTAAGTTGGCATTAAGTTTAAAGAAAAAATGTATGGAAGTATTTTGTGTTTTCAATATAAATATTAAAACTATTTCCATGAGACAGAAGATACGTTCGATAGATCTGAAGCTGGTTACTTTAAAGTACTATTCCAGGGACCCTTGTTTATATTACTAGCCCATTAAACATGTTGAGAAAATGAGCAGTTTTCTGATCAATCGGAGGACTTGAACAATGGGACCAAAATGAAGTGAACTAGTTAAGAAAACTAGTGGGGAAATATAATACTTAATTTTACCTGCAAGATAGAAGTAAAATTATTGGTATATTTTCAATCAGCTGACTTAAATAAAATAGACCATGCAGAATGATTTCCCTCCTACTTTGATATTACATTAAAAATATAGATTTTTCAGAAATTAGAAGAATGTACATACCGAGAGATCATCACCCCGGAGAACGTTCCCTGAGAGGTCAAGGTGGGTGAGAGTATTTGCAATTAGTGGGTTGGCACTCAGTGACTGGGAAAGACTATTCACCCCTGCAAAAAAATGTCAATATTCAACTTAGTTGCACCAAAAAAGTAGTAGTACAGACTCTGCCAATACATCATTTTAGTGTACATACTATCATATATTAATGCCTAATGATTTCCTGTTCTCAATACAGCTCCACTGCAGGAGGGCATAGATTGCAATGGATATTATTGTTTATCTCAAATAAGGCCCAATCTTGCACAGTGCCAGGACCCCTCAAGCACTATTAGAAAACTGGGTATATCCTGCTAGTAGGACTAGACCTTTAATCTACAGTGTCAGCTTTTTTAGAAACAATTTTCTGACAATATTTTGTATTGCATGATGCATTTGGCTTACCCATTCTAATGTATTTTGACATAACATTATAAATAAATTGTGTTTTTAAAGGCATCTCTTATTGTAAACAAGAATATTTAAATGCAAGTATCTGCAGAAGGCAAACATAAAACTAATTATAATTCAATTCTACTTCAAAGGCAGTTGACAAGACCTAAAAGTGCAAACATTTGAATTATGTATTCCTTCATAATTTCAGAAAAATATTTGGTTCATTAAAATATCAGGAGATGCATAAACACTCAAATCCAGTTTAGAATACATACACAGTCTTTAATTTTAATGTGTATGCATTGAGAACAAACAAGTCACAACGTTCCTCTTCAAAGGACTTCATCAGTTCTTTCAAATATGGATAGAGGTGGACCATTCAAGTAAATACCAGCTGCATACTGAACATTGTAACTTATCATTTACAATAGAATCTATCTGAATGGCAGTGGTTGCTTTTCAATCAGTACCTGAGAGAATTTATTAAACATATGAACATCACTATCTTCTTTAATGGTAGGGCAGA